TTGACATTTTTAGCACGTAATAATATAATTATGTGTATATTTCATATAAACATAAATTTACATGAAAATGCATGCAAATTTTACAGGTACGATCAAGTATGATATAATCTCCAACCGAAGATTTTCTACAAGTTAATAATGTTTCAACTGTTAAATATTTGATATATATATATATACTTGACAGCAATGTCTCGTAAACCGTTGATGCCCATTTCTTACCACGCCATTCCATGAAGCATCTCAAAAATGCTTAGTAATAACGGATGCAAAACCAAAACACCGATTGGCTGCTCGAGAATTCTTTATTGTAACTTCAATATATTGGCAAAATTAAATTAAGTTTACCTAAGGTCTATGAACAAACAATACAAAACTAAATAACAATATAATTTCAGACAGTTTGGTGTCAATGCAAATGAAGACTGAAAGATCAAATCATGATTGTTTGCTCAAAACCAACTTCCCCAATTTTCGCGGAGACATCGATGCACCAGTCATCGTCTCATCGGTCGCTGTTCAGAAAGAAGTTAGTAGCAAACCGTCAGAAGTAATATTGTGATTTATTATTGTAATATTTGTTCACAGACCTTAGTTGTAACAGTATTTATATGTTGGTGTTAGAAAAATAATTCTTGAGTCGCCAAACTGGGTTCTGGTTTTTTCGTCCGTTCTTACTAAGCGTTTCTGAAAAACTGCAAGGAACAGCGTGAGCCCAACCGTACTAACAGCTGGGCATCAACGGTTTACGAGACGTGGCTGACATATGGCCTGACTTCTTTCTGAACAGCGACCGATGTGACGATGACTGATGTATCGATGTCCCCTCGAAAATTGGGGAAGTTGATTTTGAGCAAACAGCCATGAATTGATCGTTCAATCTTCAACTCCATTGACACTCCCCGGCAAAAAAGGGATCCAACACTTTTTTCCTTCACGACCAATACACGTTGACTTGGATGCCATTGCAAGAAACTGGGTCACACGGACAGAGCTGAAATGGAAAACAAACAGAAAGGCCAACACACCACAAGCATACCCACAGCACAATCTCACACATCGCTGACGACCTGCGCCTCCAGACAGAGACCTCCTCTTGACATCTTGCAACACAATCGCCACTTGCTAGAATGACTCTCGCAGAATGCAAAGTGACCATAGCACCAACTCATGATACTCTACGCACATCCTCTTATCTACTCACTACCGATTACCACTGCAATCGCTTGTCACTCATTCTGCCTCAGTTCTAATATCGGTGATGCATGCGAGCCTCAGTCGTTTACACTCTTTCTCCCCGGCGTGTCGGACCGCAGCTAACAATTATCTCCGTGTGCATTTCATTCTCAGCAATAGCCTGGCCTCCCCGGCGTATACGACCCATCTGCTGTCTTTAACATCAATCAATTCATTCATGGATGTAGAAGACAAGAAACAACTTCAGAAGTAATCATGACGAAAATTTTAAAAAATTATGCAATATCAAAGAGATACCAAAACAACGAGTAAACACAATGAATCCAAAATCACCGATTGATAAGACACACCACACATATATACAAACTGTACAAATAACCTCGCGGATCATGTCTTGGTGGAATTCCTTTGAAGAATTACAGGACTTACACCAGTACGCCTACAACCCTTCTCAGGTTGACGATTGTAATTTGCGGAATGCCCGGACAAAAACAGAATTACCAACAATTACAATAATTTGAACTCACACAACTATTTAACACAAACATATGTACAATCAACACATCAAAGTGGTGGATTCTGCCTTGACGAACTACACTTGAAGAACTGTATACTTACAGCAGTACGCCTACATTCCTTCTCAGGTTGATGATCCAAGTGGAAGTCGTCCGGACACAAAGAGAATTACCAACAGCTAGATGATAAATGATACTAATTCAGTATTCACAATATGAACATATGTACAATATCACACACCAAGCACATTGGGCTGCTCATTGATGCGCTACCCTTTGAAGAATTGTAGGACTTACAGCAGTACGCCTACAACCCTTCTCAGGTTGACGCCCTAGGTTGGAAAATCGTCGCAGAGTTCATTTGCTGATTTCCTTCTATCAGCTATATCCTCAAATCTGAACGGCAACACGCCCATGTCACTGTATCGTAGAATATAGATGACCAACAAACACACGACATATCTCATCAACCAAGTATAGAAACAGAGTAATTTACACCAAAGATAATAACATTCAAATAGTAACTTGAAACTAGAAATGCCTTTATTCGTGCACGTCAATTTAACAATTACTCTCTCGTTTACACTTGGCTTATCCTCACTAAACTGACCATTGATATTCGTCGTTTCAAACGAACTGATACTAGCATAGTCATTGCACAAGATACTTGAGTTGATGGGTGTCTGTTTCATTGTGGATGAAAACACCAACGACGACTGATTGATATCAGTTGATGAAGTTAGCGGTGGATCAAAAGCTGTTGTTGCTCGACTTTCAGAAAGTTGTCTACCTGAAAGAGCACCACCACTGCTGTCTTTTACTATCAGCTCAGGTTTAGCACTAGCATCTGATGATAGGTGGACCACATGCTTATCACTTACACTGACGGTCTCACAAGTATGCATGCCTTCTGCAACTGCATCTGCATTTATTTCTACTTCACGTTCAAGTTGTACAGAAACTTTGTTCAACTTAGCAGTAGTAGGCATTCGACTCACCTCATCATGATCAACCAAACACAAATCTGCACTATCATGATCATTATCACGAATATTCACTTTACCGTCAAGTTCATCATTTTCAAACTCTTTAATAACAGAAGTAGACAATTTTGGTTCCTCCTCACAAATCATTAAAGGCTGTATATCTTCAATCTGACCAGTTATACTTTGTAAGCTTTTGGAGTCAGAACTGCATTCTGAAGTAGTAACTCTATTCTGTGACAATCTATTCAACAATGGCTTACCAGTTGCAACTACAGACTTCTTCACCGCACCGTTATCGTCACACAATTCGGAGTCAGGCCTGGAGTTTACATTTAGCTTATCGCTGAACTTGCCCACTGGTTAACAGTTCACCTTTGTATGCACCTCTTGCAAACGTGTAAAACACAAGCGTGTTTGTCTTGCATCCTGTAACTATTCCGTTGAGGATGTACCACGAAACCTGTTACACTCACTAGGTCTATATGCATTACTAGACATCATGGAGCCTTCTCGATATCCACCTCTCTGCGGTCTACTCGTCATCAATGATTGCATTTTGCTCTCAGACTGCTCTATTCTAGGGGTGAGATGCAATATACTGGCAAACTTGCTCATAGATTGATTGACACTATCTTTTACTAGTTTCAGGATATCATCAAGCTTTGGCTCGATACCCTCATCCTCCATACGGGAGCTTATCTTCACCCACTTCCTTTGCAGTCGAGTAGGTAGGCGTCTTGCTATTACCTCTAGTATAAAACTCGAGTTGAGGTCACTCATGCAATTCATCGAAATCAAGGTATTCTTATAATTCATAAGATTATCTAAAATCTCAGTAAGTGCCTTGGAGTCATCTTGTAGTTGACTGCCGTTACCTTTGACAGCTTCGTATACGTTCCTTACAATCATTGAAAGTCTTCCAAACCTTTGACGTAATATGCTCAGAGCCTCGTAGTAGCCCTCTTTTGGCTTCATAAACTTACAACACTGTATGGCTCTTGCAGCATCTCCAGTGCAATACCTCATCAAATACATTAACTTCAATTCATCACTTAGTAGAAAACTACTCAGCATGATCTCAAACTCCTTTACAAATTGTAAATAATCATCCGGGTTTCCATCAAATCATCGTGGTTCAAATTTAGGGAGTTTGATGTTCCTATTATCCCTGAACGGCGAAACAGTAACATCAACCATGTCATGCTTAACATCAGACACATCGTTACAATTAACAGACAAGTCACCATGACTTACTTTCCTGTTTGCATCCAAGACACTTTGTCCCTTCTTTGACCCAGGCATTGTTGAACTTGACCCCATTCCAAAAAACGTTCCAGATATTGCTTGTTCAAAGAGGACTTGACCGGCACCAAGAAAGATGAACGGCGACTATCCAAACTGTCACCAACTGTCTGAATCCGCCAGAATCTGTTTCTATCGTCAGAAACTGTCAATCACGTCACATAAACCGTTAATGCCCAGCTCTTGCTACGCTCGGGCTCACGCGGTTCCTTGAAGTTTTTCAGAAACGCTTAGTAAGAACGGATGAATAAACCAAAACATCAATTGTTGAGTCGAGGATTCTTTTTTGTTACACTGACATTTAAACACTGTTACAGCTAAGGTCTGTGAACAAATATTACAATAATTGATCACAAGATTACTTCTGATGTTTTACTGCTGACTTCTTTCTGAACAGCGACCGATGAGACGATGACTGTCGTATTGATATCTCCGCGAAAATTGGGGAAGTTGATTTTGAGCAAACAGCCATGAATTGATCTTTCAATCTTCAACTACATTGACAGCTGCTGAAAATAATACAACCTTCTGTTTTCTAGAATAATTAATAGGATTACTCGATTAGTCATTACGAATCATTATTCTTATCCATTATCTTCAACTTCTAATCTTCCAGATCATACTCTTTTGCTTTTTTATCGAATTTGTCCGCCCAACTATTTCTGATGTTGATGCTGTCGTCGACAATACATCCTAAACCTACTTGTTAATATAACTTTGGATTCAATAAATGATATTACCAAAATACTAAATGTAATGAGCTTTTATTGATTTACAGATATTTAAATATATATATATATACATTTTGCATGGATTTCGAAAGACTGTTTGACCTACTGCTTTTAACACTGAAGAACAAATAAATAATCATGTCATCTGTTGATACATATGAACACTTAGATTAGTAGTAATCATGATACAACATACTGTATATAGTTAATTTCTGATTCACATTATCATTTAATTACAATTACTTCATAATTTGTTCAGTGAGTCAGATGTCATGGATCTGACCAAATTAACTCCTGCTAGTGTTATGGGGAATGAGAAAGATGAATTTCATGGAAATAACAACAATAGAAAATTATATTCTTCACCTAAAATAAAGAATCAGCATTATTATAACCAAATTATTGAGGTTATCCCTGATAGTAATTACACAGCTACTCCTAATAATAATAATTGTTATGTCAATGAATTAAATCAAAAGGTTACAAGATTTAAGGGACATTTTCTTTTGAACAGAAAAATAAGTGAACAAACAAATGCAGGCAAACTATTTCGCCGACAAGGAAATCCTCTGTGCCACTCAAATATAAGGAATTTACGTCAGAATTTTATCTGACTCAGTGCTATGCCGCCACGTCGTTGAACGCTATATCAGGAAGTGGAGGAAATTCTGCGCAGCTGCAAAATTGTATAAAATGCAATTATGAGCTCAATAATATGTATTTCTTCCCTTTTATGCAGGAACATACCAATTATACAGACATGGATAAGTTATTATATAAATTACACATAATTTCATGTGTGATGAATTTACAGTTCGGTTGTTCTTTCTTATATTAGAGTCAGTCGGAACAGTCTGCTATAAAGTCTGTTTGTGTAGCACATAGAGAGATATAGAAATATTGTCTTAGCGTTAACAAACACCCCTGATAGCAGATGAATGTAATACAAATATCTGGGAAAAATAAAGCTTGAAGTCAATTCTCCTATATAACTTTGTTGTGAACAGCCCCCTTGGCTCAAAGTTTACTGATGTATTTATTATGTTGAGATCAGTGATATATTTATTCCATTTTTTCAGTAATACATTATTGGAAGTATATTCACAATATAAGTACAAGAGGAAGAAGCTATACATATAGCATACATTTGCAATGTCTAATAGTGACCGTAGTGGTCTAAGCATGAAAACTGTGCCATTTTCAATGAAAATATAGCTTCGTCCAAACATTGGTGTTGTTGTGTTTTTAATCAAGGCAACGAGATTTTCGGCAAGCAGCAAATATGAACAAAGAGCAAGTTTTAGCTTTAATAATGGTTTAGGTAGTGTGCATAAAGTAGAGTAGAATAGTGCGTAAATAAAAAGACTATTGTGAGCTAGGTAAGTAATATTTAGGTGAGGAATGAATTCGAAGATCTGGAAGATTTGAATCAGTAGAACAAGGAGGGTGGCGTTAGCTGATCAGTAGATATGGTGGGGGTCACTAAGGTGAATCGCCCCATTCTGCAGGAACAGCAATATACAATTTGAAGGCTCGAGATATTTCTGATTTTTATGAGGGCTTAGATCTTTATCTTGAAAAACATAATAATGAACGCCTAAACAGATCATGCTTCTACCTTTAAATATATACCATTCACTCAGCCTATTGTTGAGATGCGACCATGTGGGCTCTGCACAGATTTATGGGGCATCTTATAAACTAACTTACTGTCCATTGTCGGATCTTTAAATACCAATTCACAACGTCTTATCTCATTCATTTTCTAATAACGTCTTTGCTTGATCCTCATTATATTCCATTAGACCTAACATTTTATAGCTTTTTATGAGTTTGATTCGACTTATTCTATTCCTATTCTCTGTAGGGTACGGTTGTGCACCAAATGCACAAAAAGGCATAAAATAAAAAAAACCGACATAAGGAAAAAAGTATTAAAACCAAAAGTGGACATCATGATAGTGCAAACTGTACAGGAAGCATTATACATTGCAAATGAACGTTGTCGGCCTAGGGAGTTTCCTTTATTAATGCATTTATTAGTGATACTTGCACTTACCCATTTCATTACACTTTATTGATTCACCTTAGCACTTTTACTTTTATAAAAACAGCTTTTAATCCCTTGTAAACGTTGTACTTACCTCAATATTGGTTGGTTATCGTATGCCGACAACCACGGGATGAAAACGAAACGAAGTCGATTTTCCCGCTCAACCTGGAGGACAATTGTACAATTCAATAACTATACAGCCTAGTTCAGACAATGAGTGTATTTATATATATATCAAATATTTAACTGTTGAAACATAATTAACTTGTAGACAATCTACGATTTGATATTATATCATACTTGATCGTGCCTGTAAAAATGGCATGCATTTTCATGTAAATTTATATGTTTATATGAGAATATACGTTATTATTATTAAGCTGACCTGTAAGATGTCTCACGAATTTGTGTCGGGCCCAACGGAGTAGCATCTTGACAATAAGCTGAACAGGCTTGTAGATGGTAGGAGCAAAAGCATTTTTAAAAATTTATAATTTAGATCTGTGCAACCCTTATTTTTTTCCTTAAGTGTCCAGACTAATGTTTAATCCTCGAGCTGTCAAAAGATTCACGTTGCCGTCCTACAAATCGGAGCGATTCACATTTGTGACCACTACCATATCTGCTTATCAGCATGCGCCACCCTTCTCTCCTTTTTTGATGTTAAGCTCTGAGATTTTTTGGCAGTAACTATAGTTGCGACACTGCACTGCTTTGGGCCCGTCTTAATCACACAGTATGCTGTACATTGATAGCTTTCATGACAAGCGCTTCCCATCGGGTCACCAGATACGTCGACACCTGAGGACATTCTTAGCATTATCACCTTCATACATGCATATATGTGTATAGGTATTTGTTGCAAACGACTATGCGATTGCGTTTACTTTAGGAAGTATAAAGTACAGAAGTAGCTAGTGGTACAGCAAATAAGTTATAGTATATTTAGCACAGTAAAATGTGTGGTGGAAGAATTACTGATAAAATTATGTATAATAGTCCTGAAGAAAACGGCTGGATAACAGAGCTAGTTATGCTAAATTTTCCTGACCAACTGTCAAGGAACTAATCCCTAAGTTCCTATTGATACGAAGACGCTCAAGACCGATAAAAACTATGTACTTTCTTCGACATTTACCCCAAAACACCAGTATTATAAGAAGGAAGTTATATTGTTTAGCAGTTAAAGCGTAGAACAGTAAAAAAATTTCATTCATTTTGATCTTCGCCGCCGAACTTGTACACGATTGAACCATTTGCGTTTTCCAGTTGCCCAAAAATGGCTACCAGTTGCAAAAACAAGCGTTCAATGTTCACCTTCATTTACACCAATTTTCATAAGGCATGAGTCAGACGTCGCAATGTAACCTTACAACTTGCGTTATTAGATAAAAGATGCTACGAAATGTTATAAAATTATACATCTTAGAAAATTATATAAGAAAAGGTAGTTATTGACTGAGCAAATGCATTTTGACACAAAAATAGCAGTGTACTATTAACTGTACATACATGAAATATATTAAAAGTCGTGGTTGCTAATATAACTGTTTCTAGAATTACTTATGCTAACAAAACCTGTTGAAGATTATAGAAAATAGAAAACCAGTAAATCAGTTAAACGTTCGCGTAAGTGACTAAACTGAAGACTGGACGGGCTCTCAATTACCATTCTACCAACACTTTTGGTCTTTTAGACGAGGTTGGGCAGACATGTTAAAGTATCCTTCCAGGCTTCGTTTGAACCCAACGAGGTTTTCACAATATCTAATTTCAGATGACAGTTGGTTCCAGGAGTGTAATTTTTAGTGGTGAAAAAGTTTGACTCCATTATAGATAAGATTTATACTTATAGTGAAAAGTTTGCCCTAATAGATTTTCTGTGGGTAGCCACCGTGGTATGATATTTGCACATATTATGGATGAGTTACTGTAACAATGTTTCTTAATGACTTTGAAGAATAGAAATAAGTTGCACTTCACTCTCCTTAACCACAGGGGTTCTAATTTCAGACGTATACACCTGTCAACATATCCCACTTGTTGGTCAAACCCTATCATGCGTCTCGTGGGGGAATCTCTGGATACTTCCTGCTTTTCTCGGTCTGCAGACCTTAGGCTGCCAAAAAGAAGAATTTTTGGTCGAATGCGTGTCTTACGTATGGCCAGTCTTGGTTCTTGGGTGTAGAAGTTGCGCAGTATAAAAGCCAGTGAGCCGTTTACGGTCAGGTACTACCTTATTTGCATGATCGGAAAACGTCAAATCTGAGTATGTTGTGCCGAGATCTGTTTAGTTTTGAGAGGAGCTTACCGTACATTTGTGGACACACTCTCGGTTTTCAGCGTCCAAAGTGGGCTTTGGTGAAGATGGCTGGCGGTTGATTTTGACCAATTGCTCTCTTTCTGTGAGGAAAGAATTTATCCACTTGGGAAGCTTTCCAGTTATTCCGTAGGACTGAAATTTTGTTAGGAGTCTGATATGTGGGACTTCATCAGAGGTTTTGTTAACGTCAAGAGATTATGTTGTTACTGAACTCCCATCCTCTATACTTTGCGTAATGTGGCCAAGGTAATCCAAGAGTCAAGTAATGTACGACCTTCTACCCATGAAGCCTTTTTGGGATGGGGATAGTAGTTGAGAGTATTTACTATCTTTTCCACTACGCGTGAAACTACAGATGTGATTATTTATTTTTTGATAACAGCTTGATTCCACACTGTATTTTTGGTACAAGTATGGAATTTTCAGCATGGATATCGGTAGCCAAAATTTTGCAGGCCGACCATAGATATCAGGTGTGTGTCGGCGGGGAATCGAACCTCGGACCATGTGCATGGTCGGCGAGAGTCCTAACCACTGTGCCACCGACACATTGGTAGTTTTTGATATCAGCTGTAGGCCTGTACAATATAAGTCCTCTTCAAGCGGGTTGGGCATGTCCCATGGCCTAGTGAAATAGAGTATAACTTGAGTAGGAGTAGACTCATGCCATTACCACCGTTTCTCAGCAGAATGGAAGATATACCATCTGAACCAAGAGTGTTACCAAGCTTAAGATTTGCGGCAGCTTAGTCTGTCTCTTGTATGGTGAAAAGTATGTCACTCTGACACTCATCTGCTACGTTTTACTTGGGAAATACACCACCACATCATTCTCTTAGCTGTATAATCTCGCAAAGTGATTGCTACACATTTCACATATCACCTCGGTATTCTCGTAAACAATACCGTCTAAGCATATTATTCCACTGTTGAAAAGTTTAGCTATTTCTCCTAAATATGCGGTGGCTGAATGGCCGCATTTCTTTGTTTCTGAGGCTTATATTTTTCAGCTCATGAATTCAACCGAGAAGAGACTTAACACAAATTAATGGTGATAAGTCATGAAATTTGTGATATTTTATTGAGTGTTTTCGTAGACTTCTCCTTAACTATGTTGGAATATAACCGCTTTGGGGGAATTTGAGGCAGAGAATCTTCTCAGCTGCAATAACATCATGAATCGAGTTAAGTATTGTGATCGTGCCTGTAAAACTGGCATGCTTTTTCATGCAAATTTA